CCGTTTGTGACGGAGAAAAGCTTGATGTACAGAGTTAGTAGTATTTTTAAAGTCAAGGAGTATCAAATGTCCTCTTTTTCCTCGTCTCATTTCTGCATGCCCCATATTATTTAATTAAGGAAGCTAATCGCCTACAAGCAACCCATCTTTAAACTGTACATGTAAATTACTCAAAGTCATTTCTTCTTCAATTAGATTGAGCTGTCTACTTCTTAGGTGATTGTTGAAGAACGGAACGCAAATTTTCCGGCCCAGTTTGCTTCTCACGGGATAAAGAAAGATTATGCACTAGGTGCACCGCGTCGTACCTTTGACAAATGATAAAGGCCGCTAGCACTTAAAAACTGTAGGTATCATAGTGCTTAGTAGGTTCTAGAAGCACTGGAGACTGTAAATGTGTACTACCGTTCACTTATTTGTTGTTACACCTGCGAGTACTGATTGGGTAAGGTTCTCGTACGCGTAACTTCAGTTTTTATGCGCTGATTACGGTAAATCGGAGCATGCTACATATAATAATTTTTAAGAGAATATGAAATATACTTGATAAAAATCTGTGAAACGCTTGTTAAGTTCTACTACGAAAGAGTATATTTTACACCAAACACGAGAAGTCTGAAGAAAATGATTGAGTTATCGGCACAGGGTCGGTCCCGTTGAGGTTCCTGAGAGCATTATGCTCATTGAATCAAAAAAAAATTGCCATTTTCCTGATTAGCAAAGGAACCAAATCTTTTTATTACCATATACATTACTTGCAGCCCAGCACTTCAAAGAAACGATTTTTCATAAACTTTTAGAAAAAAAGTATTGCCACCGCATAGGTATACAGACACTTTCAAAGGACCAAACCATCAGAGCATTTGGTAGCAATAAAAATTGTAAATTGCACAATAAGTGAAGAAATTTAACCACGAAGAATTCGAATGTACGTCAAGCGGATTTTCCGATAGCGCATAACAGGCCATCCCTATGCTAGCTCTTTGCTCAGCATAAGATACCTCCCACAAATTACATTTCACGCTAGTGGATTAAGAGTAAGAAGACATATTCCACTGAATTCGTTCCTCATAGAACTTGATAACCATTTGAGGGCACTTCTCGTTAGCAATTTTTGAAGGCACCAAACTTGCAGCTTCTTTGCCCTTCCATTTGATCAGCAGCATTATTTGTCCGTGTGAAAGGGTACCGCCAATGATCTTCTCCGGTTCCAAACCTAACAGTTGAAATCAAAATCTTTGACGTTTCACGATGTATCAAAGCATCAAACGAAAAACCTCCGTGCTTGGCTAGAATCACGCAATGTTTCCTTTGTTACAATATATTTGTAATTGGATCTGTAAAAGCTGCAGTTCAATTCAAAACAGTCTCACGGTTAATTCTTCAACCTTTTATACTTCATACCTCTACTATTCCGTTGTAAGAAGTAATGAATTTTCATATGTAGCTTGTAATACCGGCGAACATGCATTGTAGAAAAAAAATTTCCAGATGAGACTCACTCTCTCGAATTGAATGAATCTTTTAAAATATTCATCGGAAACTAAGAAGTCTACTAAATAAAAAATTTCAAAAAAAAAAAAAAAAA